TCAGAAGCCTCAGGAGTTACACAGATACCACTCCAGGTCATCCTCTTACAAAAGGAAGCAGATTAAAGGCCCACTTTCCTTTTGATCTTTGCCCAGTGCACTGGACAACCATATCACTTAATTTTCTTCCAAGTGCAGTTTTGTGTCAGGATCAAGACAACTGTGAAGTTAACAGAAGTTGTACGTGGCAGCTTCACTTGGGGCACTGGAGCTGTGGCGATGTAGCAACCACCTGTGGGAGTCAGCCAAGGGCCAGCAATAAGGCACGGTAAAAATAAACTGGAGGCGGGAGGGTTTAGCCCTCTCAGGCTTGTTATCTTAGTGCTTTGGACGTTACAAGGGTTCAGTCATGCCATCTGAAAATTGCCAGCGGGAAGATGCAAAGAAGAGTGGCAGAGAGACATTCCAGCCTGTCCTGTGGGCAAGGCGGTGGGAAAGCCTAACCTATCTCGAGCAACCCCATCTCACGCAAGCCCCCCAGAGAGGCACAGAGAACTGGAAACCATAGATATGGGGCCAGAGAGGCCATGAAGTGATATGTCAAGGTTGTTTTGGTCTCTGGAGGAGCTGCTTCTTGGAGGGTGGGCAGGGATGAAGAGGAGCAGTGGAGAGCATCAGCAAGGTGGATGCAGAAGACAGCAGCAGAGAAGAGACGAAAAACAGCGATGAGACACAGGAATAAGGTTCAGGAGGGAGAATAAGAGACAGCAAGGTCTGTCCTGCACCCCGTGGCTCATCTGCCAGGAGCCAGCATTGTGAGCATGACAGCTGTGCATCCCTCCTGGGAGCCCCAGCATGACACCTCCTGCTCCACTGCAGGCTGACAGTGGGAGGCCCTGTCAGTGCAGCCATCGCCGGGCTGTAATTATGATACTTTTCCCTTTCCATTCGATGCTGATGGGGCTGGGCATCAGCACCAAACCCCTCCTGGCTCAAGTGAGTCGACAGCTATAGCCAGGGACTTCGAAAGGAAGTGGTCCTCTGATTTTCCAAAAGAAAATAATCTCTGATGCCCAGCACAGATAAATTCCTCAAACTGATGCCCCCACTATTTCGCTACACACCAGTACTGATGAGTATGGGGGTGGAGGCAGACACCTGGGAAGAGGGCTGGGGCAGCAAGGCAGATGGGTCAAAACCAGCATGGCTCTGCATTCAGTGCTGTCCTGGAAACACAGCTTTCCCCGAGACCTTTCTGAACAGTTATTTTGGTTATTTTCCCACCCTATAAGCTCTTTGCACCAAATACCAGTTTCTCTTTCTCTCTGGCTGTTTTCTGGCTGGATGGTTTTTACCTCTCCTGTATGCGATGGACTTGCCCCAATATACTCCTGTAATCGCCTGATTTGCGAAGAGGGGCCGGTGATAAGAGAAGTGCCTGAGTCAACGATGGCTTCGCAGCCGTGGGAGCAAAATGCCACCCGGCCCTGGATCTTTATGCTGCGAGTGAAAAACAAAGTATCTTTAAGCAAGTGGTATATAAACTGTGGCTGAAGCAACATGTTATTGCTAGCTTAAGTGCCACAGTATGGTCTGAAGTTAAAACTAGCTGCCAAGCTTCCCCAGTCTTAAAAGATAAAAATGTCTTTGAAAGACAGGAAAGCAATAAAAGGAAACTGCACGAGGAAGACCTCATTTGTGGACCCACTTTGCTCTCTCAGGACTCCTACAGCCCTAATCATTTGCTGACTGCTGATGAATTTGTCTCCACCCTCACATCGATTTACGGAGCAGGAGGAACAACGAAGTAACACTGACTACTTTGACCAAGGTTAACAGGAAAGATGAGAGCAGGACCCAGAGCTGGATTCAGTTCCTGGGTGCCTTTAACCTCTTAACTAAATAGTCCACCAAGAGTCAACTTGACCACTGATGTATCATGTTAAAACACATTAATATGCTCTCCCAGAAACCAACTACCCGTGTCACAGCAGATTTAGAGAGCAAATAAACCCCAGTCTCATCCTAGCAAACCCCTTCTTTGAGAGGCACAAGGGTAAAACACTGCAGCCGAGTCCTGCTCCATCTGTATCACAAGCTGTTTCTGCTTCTGGGGGTTTTACATGGGGGTATTTCATATGTACATACATACGTACTTGTTCAGGTGTATTTGCCAGTAGCTTTTCTCGGTGACTGGGACCCAGTGAATTGAACCTTTGTAGAGGGAATGGTCTATCCCCCCCAGGATCAACTCACCACCGTTCTCAGTGTCATCTCCTCTGAAAGCAGAAGACAGGTTAACACAGACATGGGAGTGTCCCAGCATGCACTGATGAGGTTACACTTAAAAAGCAAAAGACAAACCACAGCCCTTTCTAAATTCAGATACGGATGGCTGAAAGGGATTATTTCTAAATTATAACTGCATATGTCCCAAAGCCTCCAAACAACCTCTGAGAAGACTCACTGTAGCCTGCTGAGGGCCAAGATAGGCATCAGGACCAGGCTGAGCCAGTTGCTGCTCTCACCTCTGAATAAACACTAGATAAATTGGTGGAGTTACAGCTAGGTCCAGATGACTAATAACAATTCTTTTCTGAAATGTGGCTACTTGGGTGTAGCACAGCGTTTCTGTTCATCTCCACTGGCCAAAAGGAAACCTCTGGCAGCTCAGAACATAGTGAGTCTGAGCTGGGAGCTTTTCTTTTGTTTATGACCAGCTCCAAGAAGAATAACTATCTGTCCAAAAGGTCATGGTCCTCTCCAGCACATTTTTCCTTTTCACTGCATATTTTTCAGTGTCAAATTGAAAAAAAAAAAAAAGCAACAGGGGAAATTACTTTCTAGAATTGAAGATTTATACAAATGCACTGTTAAATTCAAATAGATTAAACAAATTAACAATTAAAATAGATTTACTCCTTTTTTGGCAGTGTCACTTTAAAGACTGACCTTTTCAGATAGAAAGAGAAGACCGGCTCCTCTACCAGCTGCTGGTTCATGATGCTGTCAAACACGGGCAGAGCATTGCCCACTGCTAAGGAGGGATAGCCCAAGCCCAGCACGCCGTCAAAGTGGGCAAGGGCAAAGGTTATTCCTGGCTCAAACACTGACTCGCCAAAGTCCTGTCCCTTAATGGAGATGTTACTTATCTGTTTGGTACAAGGGAAAGTAAAGACACCATCAACTGCAAGAAATTAGCCACATTTCAGATCAATGGGTTCATTCAGTTTATAAAGCCTCAATACCCTTGTGTGACTTGCATCAACACAGCAGGTGCCCATTTGGTGGGTAGGCTGCACCGATTCCTTTTAATAGCTTAATTCGGTGGATGTGTCTTCATAAACCCAGGACAGGACCCAAGGAAAGAAGCAGAAATGCAAAATAAAATCTTATGGATTTGTCTGGGCAGCCCAAAGCCAGAGCAGCACCGACATCTCTCAGCACCCAGCTTGGTGAGACCACGCCCTGCCCTTGCCTAAAGCAGGAAAGGTTTTCCAGGGCAAGGCCAGTATCTGAACTGCCCTGAAAACGGTTGAGCTGGAGGCTGACACCCATTTTAGGTGGACACTCACCTGCAGCGTGTCTTTGCCAGCAATGCCCAGAAGCTCTCCCGTGCCATACTGCAAGGAGAAGGCTTCCCCTCCGTGCTCGTATGAATCCGACAGAAAGGACTTAAATTTCTGGTGCACCCCTACACAAAACAAATGACACGTGTACTGAGGGGAGATCTCAGCAATGTACCCGCTCCTCAATGCACAACCGGATGAGACGCGGGCGAGGCAGATTTTTGCTTGTTTTATGAGGAAGGTGTCAATGAAGGTACCTGTTCCTCTGCAGGCACCCCATTTTTTCTGTGCCTCAGAGGTTATTTTGGGTTTTAAAGACAAATTAAAACAAAAATAGCCACTTCCACTGCTATTAGTATCTCTCCCAGGTTTATTTTCATGCCTTTTACATCAGGGATCTCATGGTGCAGAGGGACGCTTGGCAGCTGCAGCCAGCACCTGCCCTGGCTGCAGGGTGGCACAGAGGGGCAGAGACGGAGGAGCAAGCCAGGGAGAGGAGAGTGGGCCTCGGGGGTGCTCCAAATCCTCCCCTCCCAAATCCCTGCTGCAGGCAAGCTCCTAAAAAAAAAAGAAGCGGCGAAGCTACCTGAGATACGAGGAGTGTAAGGGAGGGTGACATTTCTTACTGCATGCTTCGCTGATGCAATAAGCAGAAGGGACCCAAAAATTGGAGGAGCCGGTGTCAAACACAACGGTGAACCTCTGGGGCGGTGTGCCAACACTCACAACTCCGTAGTACTGCGCCTGGGGAAGGAACAACCCTGTCAGACCTGGCCTGCTTGCAGTGAGCTATTCCTGAGGAAAAGGCAGACCTGGGAGCATCACACAACGCTTTCTCAGGAGGTTTGGTGCAATTTCGTTTAAACATAAATACATGCCACAGGGAAGAGTGTCTGGCTCCACGAGTGGCTGCGGGCAGCCGATTTCACTCCAGCTGCGTGCGTACCAGTGCAGCACTTTTAAAGCTTTTTAAGCAAACATTCAGTTGTGTTCCCCATGAAGTCGACAAACCCTCTAGCACTGACTTCAGTGGTGGCAAGGTCAGCGCCGAGATGAAGCTCTCGCATGACCACACAGGCTTTCAGGCAGCTCCCAGCTGATGTTAGTAAGAAACTAGTGATGCAAAGAGCACAACCTGCCTCTGCCATCATCAGAAGGATCCAACTGGTGGCACAAACACTGTCAGGTGTGGCTGGGCTTTTTCCTTTGTAATTAGCAGCTATTATCAAGTCAAAAAATTAATTCTGTTGCTCAGACTGTATCTGACATATTGAACAAAGTTCATCCAGTCGATAAAGAAACCATTGGCCATCCTTGGATACCAGTGGAGGCTGGAGACAATCTGTGAACACGTGACTGCTGGAGTGAAGAGCTTATCCACATCCCGAATGCAAGTGTCTAAGTGCCCCTATCTGGCCCTGGAAGAGCACTTCAGCATTAAGAGACCTATTTTTAGGAAGAGGCATTTCTGGAATTCAAACGCAGATAGAAGAGCAATGGCCAGTACCAAGCCTTTTGTAGCAATACAAATATTTGAATATGTATCTTCAAGTGCATACTTGTTAATCAATATACTGAATATAGTTTCTGACCCCAGAGTTTATAGCCTGAATGAGATAATCTTGAAAAGGCAAGCAAGCACGTCATTTAAGAGAATATCCAGCTATACAGCAGGATTTTATTCCTTCCTGTGTTATAGAAACCTTTATCAGTTAATCTGTAAAGTGAGGCAGCTCTAAGGCATGTTCATCCAAAAAAAAAAAACCCAGAAAACCCACAAACACACTGCACTGAAGCCTCCACAAAACTGTTGCTGGTGCTAGGTGGATATGCTGAGGAAGTAGGTTTGGTTTTGTCATTTTGAGATTTATCCCCCTTTGATAAGCTTTAAAGCAGGCTGAAATGATTCAGTCTCCTTTGTTCTTCTCCACACACATCTCCAGCTCATCTTATCTGGGCCGTATTTCTTTATGGCCCTCAAGTGTCAGGAAGTTCTTGCCGAATTAATTTGCCCTTCCCCTTCCTGTTCCCTGTTCAGATGCAGCCTCCATAACATTTCTCCAACTTAGCTTTCCTTTAGATAAGCATAACAGAAGAACCAAATAAAACAGAAAACGGAGACTGTCCAAATGGACAAAATGCTAAACCCAAGAAAGACAGTTTACAAAGTGGTTGACCTGCTGACTTGCCTGTCTGAGATCCAATGAAACTCGTATTTTTCCTTTTTCAGTTTTGATGGCAAATTCATCTGGGTTAGTGTGAGACCCAAGTCAGTCTCCAATATTTAATACACATTAAGCTCAGGAGATAAAAGTAGAAAAATAAAAAGTCTACTTGGGTCTTTGTTATCATTGATTTATGACTCCACATGATCAAATAAATGTGATTTGGGGAATTTTTCACAATATGCAAGCATCCAAGTTTCTGATAAACAGAGTACAGCTAAATGAAGAAATGAGATTCTGCTACTAAAAACCCAATTCTGAACCAAGATTGATACAGGCAAGCATTCCACATCTGTTTGCAGACCCAACCAAGTCCAATACAGATCTATACAAAAATAAAACTTGTCACAGGACTACCACTGCTAGACAACACCAGCTTTCTACCCGGGTCCCATGCTAACCTAGGTCTATACATGCTTTATTTTGCAGACTGGTAAACCGATTTTTTACGATCTAGTATTTATAGCCTAGAGCAACAAGCCATCTCATTCCCTATAATTTCATTGAGTTACTAGATTTCAATGTGCTCAGGAAAAAAATCTGCCTTTAAGAGAACAATGAGTCCTTATGATTGCGTTACCAAAACTGTACTTACATTCATGTAATCATACAGCCTTTCTGAAGCGGTTCCTGCCGATAAAGTAATATCTGCAGGGAAGCAATGCAGGTACCTCCGGGCAAAAACATCAGGGTGGTGATCCCTCCAAAATTCCTCTAATTCTCCCTTTTCCTTCAGCTGTTTCTTGATGGATTTGAATCGAACAAGAGGGATTCTATGCAAATAAAACAAACACACAAAAATTAACTGGTTCTCCTTTCTAGAGCTCTCATATACTCTTTTCTTTTAAATTTGTTTCTTTTTTGAGACCTCAGGTAGCAACAAGCACAGGTCACCCTGGGAAGCCAGGTAATACACGCACTAGGCATGCTAGGTGTGTTTTCTTACCGCTCCATGGCCACGGTGAAGGGGATGTAAACCACAGCCAGCAGTATCACCCTCATGGCTCCAGGCGGTTCGGGCTCTAATGACACTCATTTACTCAGAAGTCCCTTTTTTATGCCCCGTTGTCAGCAGAGGGCTGTTCGCCAGGTCAATCAATCGCAGGAGGTCAGCGCTTTGGCAGAAAACTGATTAATTTGCTCTCAGAGTAACCGCTGGATTGTGCAAATAGTGGTGTCCAGTGGGGCTACTAAGGCACAGATAACCAGGGCACAGTCTAGACCATACAGACATTTTACTAACAAGCCTTAATGTCTTTTACATAAATATAATACATGGGGTGAGCTTGGCTCCCGTTAGCATGGGAAAGAGGAGGTGGTCCAAGGACTTGCCTGGTTCCCTCTGAGTAAGCTGCTTTTCAAGCTCGCTTTAGTGACAAGTGGCCCAGAAGTGTCCAACATAGAGAAAGAGGACATAACATATAACCATTTCCCTTTTACCTGGAGACATTTCAGCAGGGCTGAGCAGAGGGACATTTGATAGGGTTGCGACAAGTCATCCCCTAACAACTGAAGTTTAATTCCCTACTTATGGGGAAGCTCTGGTCTCAACATAAATATGATTGCCACCCTGAAAAATGGGTCTTAAAAGTAAAAAACATGACAGGCTGCAACATAAAGTAATAAACAGGCAGTGGTTCCGTACACATTTCAGCAAGACATTAGGAAGCGCTCGCTTGTGTTTATTTTCCTGCGAGTTTCCCGAGGTTAGCAGTTCCCACTCCTGCCTGACACTTAGATTCAAGTCAAGCTAGCAGAAAAATAATGGTGTCAAAAAGAGTCTCTGATCTGACAGAGAGCAACCCCAAACCCATTAGCTGCCTGGGAGGAAGCTCAGCACTGAGTTTGCAGTTTACTCACGAGACTTTTTAAAACTCTCCTCTGTATAAGAAAGTGCAGTGAGCAATTATGTACTGCAGCCTAGCACACATTAAAGCTAAATTTGAATAATCAGCCATTTTTGTTCAAAAGACTATGCTAGGATGCTGGGAAAAGAGCAATGACGATTTTTTGCTTGCAATACACCACTTATTTTCAGTAACCCCCCAGAAAAGAGAGCAGGTGTGTGACAGTGCATAGCAGAGTGAATGTCAAGAACATGGAGGAGTCAGGAGTTATCATCCACTCTAGCAACAATGCTCTTGTCAAGAAAAAAAACAGCAGAAAAAACGCAAACACACAGCGTTTGTGAGTGAAGAAGGTGTCTAAATGCCTGTCACAGACTTCAAATAAATGTAAAGCAAATCATTATCAGCATATACTAAAGAAATTCTTAAAAATTGTTCCTTTAAGTCTCTCCTCTTGCTATGTCAAGCTGATTGAGGAAGGGCATGAGAGCCTTAAAATCAACAAATTTAGAGCTCTGTTCATTTTGGATTTTGAAACAATGTTTTGCTTTTTCAAACTTACCTCCAAAATTGTGAGGGCTATACAAACCGAGCAAAGGCTGAGCCTGGTGTCATCACACAGCTGTGTGCAGAACTTTGGATCTGAAAAACTACCAGCATCTCTATTCTAATATTTTGTTTCAAAACAAATAAAGTCTCAAAAATGCAGCTTTTATATTGATTTCTATTTTACTGTGAACTTTTTTTTTTTTTAAATTACCTAGCTCTGAGCATTGTTCCCTGTTTCTTCTGGACACAGAGGTTTTACACAAGTTCTCAAAAGCAATCACGTTTTCTGTCCCGCAGCTGTCCCAGCCACCGAGCTGCAGGAGCTGGGTGCTGGAAATGAGAACGGTGGGCAACAGATGTGGGCATCTGTGAACTTTCAGAAAGCAAAGGCATTTCTCAAGGAGCCTACACGTGCCACCAGACGCCCAGCAGAGCAGATGTCACGCCCTCTCGTAGGGCAGTGTCGCTTTGACAAGAGCAAGACAGTGTCTGTGCTGAGCGCCTTTATCGCTTGAACTTTTCCTCAGATGCCACAAATGCTTCTGGGAAGTCATTAATGTTCACGTTGGAGGGCATCAGGATAACTCTGGAGACATGAAGCGGCTTTTAGAACATCGCCGTGGGTCTGCTGAGGGGACTGCCTTTGCCTTAGAGCCTCCACCAAACCACTGACTCTCAGAAAGATCGAGATTGTTCATTTTATTGCAAATGTAGCCCTTTATTATCCCACCACACGAAGGTTATTTTTTTTCCCAAATACTCTGATCTCACAGTGTGTTCCAAGCAGACATTCATTTAGCCAACACAGGTACAAAATGCAGCAACAAAAGGTCATCGTGACTTTTTTTGATAAGCTGGAATAATGATTAAACTGCAGTGTAGTGATCCCCAAGAACTAGTCGTCTGCTGCTTGAGAGTTTCATTAAGTAGAAATAATTTGAGTAGGAAAAAAACCCCATATGTATCTGTGTCTACAGACATAAGGTATATTACAAAGTTATTTCTCTCCATAGGGATTATTAAGAAAAATATGCCTAAACCATGTTATTAATATACTCTTACCTAGGTTTTTATGTTGTTCTGATCAGCAGGATATTTGGAGAGGTTTGTCTAAGGGCCATGTCTTTGCTAGGGATGCAAATTCATTATTATTTATGCCAAATGCATTTGGTTTTCCACACCTGTAACCTACAGCGCTCTGACAGGCCAGGGAGCCTTGCCTTTAGAAGGTGCCACAGCTGCTTAGAAAGGGAAACAAATACAAAACCTGCTGAGGGCCATGGGAATATTTTCTTAAAAGTCAGATCACATTCCAGGGGAACTGCTTGGAAAAGGATGCCCTGTGAAATTCAGGAAGGACATGTTCCCAACAGTGCTCCTCTGGCAGGGGGCGTAGTGTTAAAGCACTAAAGAAGCGGCTACTCTGAGATGCTCATTCAGTGTGAACTGGCTCTTGCTGCTGGGATGCTACGCCCAGCACGTCCCACCTTCTGTCATGAGAGAGAGTGTTTTCAGCACCTCTCTTCCACAGCACGGCCACAGATGACTGCGACGTATCTTTGCTCTCCAGGCTTGATACTCTGCCCAGCTTCTCCATCCAAAACCTATCCCATGGCACTCAGGCCGCAGCACTCGCTGTTCCCTGTCCTGCTGCAATACTGGTTCCCAGACACCCTCTCTGCTGTTCTCCTGCCCCAGGAAACCCTCCATACATTTCATAGCATCACTGCTGCATGGCACAGCCACTCATCTTGCACAGAAAAGACTAGTAAAGACCCTATAGCCTACACTCAATTGATAGCTAAGCACTGCTTTACATTGGCAAGCAAGTGATAGCAGAGAGCTCTCTTACCAGATTTGACCGGAGATCCAGAGGCCGCCTTAACTGTTTGATACTGCTTTTTTCTCAATCTTCTGTTTGCTCTGCCTTTTGTTTTTCCAAGAATACGTGGTTCTCAGCAATCACGTATTTTGGTTGTGTAGCACCTAACGCCCAGAAACCAACTGCAGATTGTTTGAAGAAAGTATCCTCCTTAAATGATAGTAAGTGTGGAAAATGACAGCAAGGAGCTGTAGCTACCAAAGCAGAGAGCCAGCTGCCAGAAAGGCTATTTCACCTTCAAACACTCTGCCAGCTTTCAAACCCAAAGATCGTTGTAGAGCCATGGCCAACCCACAGGTAGGGCAATCCCCAAGAAAGTTTAAAACAGCCGCAGCTCAAGCCGTCGAAGTATGCAGAGGTGCCTACGCATGGGAAGGCTCCTCCTAGAAATCAGAGGTGCTCCTGACCTGAATAGCAATGGGTCATGCTGAGAGGAGGAGGGGAACAGTTGACACTGTCACATCTAAATAGCCGTACTTTTTAACACCATATTTATCTTGCTCATAACGAGCGAGAATCTTTACGGAATTAAATCCATGACAGTTTCTTGACAGGTTTTGGTATGGACACGGGAGCTGCAGTAGCACAGTCAGGAGGTGGCCGGAGAACAGCCTTGGCAGGTTGTGAGAGTCTTAAAACGGGGATTCAGACAAGAAGAAAAACATGATGTGATGAAAAAGGCCCTACACAGTCAAGAGTGCCAGAGGCTATAGTAAACACCGTTAAATTAGGAACATAAATAGTAGAACAGCTCAAGATAGCAGTTTGCCAAGTATTTGTGTTAAAGCTTTAAGATAAGTACTGGGTGGCAAGTTACACTCTGAAATTATGTATTTGGCACCTTGCAAAGTAAATCCCTAAAAGTGCCACTCGTCTGGAAAGTCAGTCAAGTCTTGAGAGGTATTTTAAATAACAATTTGATTACATCCGACATTTCATGAATGCTGAACATCTGAGTTTAAAAATCTGGTCTTCTATGGTGGTTAGTTTCCTGAGCCAATCCCCGCAGCCAGCATCGGCTGTACGAGCAGCACAGCCAGAGCAAGAGGTGAGGGGCTGGGGCATCGGGGCAACAGTTTGGGGCAAAATCAGAGAACATTTACAGTGTGCAGGAAGAGGCAAGAAGGAATGTTTTTGAGGAGGGGCGAGTGGGAACATGGCTGAGAGAGGGAGACCTGCGCTCTGAGTCGTCCTTTCCGTAATCCCCGTCACCAAACACTCATTCAGTTATCAGAAACATTTCAGAGCCCTTGAGATTAATGGCCGGTGCCATGTAAACAGAGCCTTATATTGGGAAGACAGAGTTACCGGCAGGCCAGTGCACAGCAGGAGAAGACCAAGGCGGGCCCCTGTCCTTCGCAGTCCCGGCGATCCCCAAAGTAAGTCCCGGGATGGGCAACAGTCTGAAAGCCATAGTTGCTTTTGTGCCCTCCGACAAGTGTCAGAAGTACCTCCTGGAAGACCTAGAGGAGATGCCAGTGGATAAGATGGTGGATCTGAGCGGCAGGCAGCTGAGGCGGCTGCCTCTGCACATTTGCTCTTTTAGGGAACTGGTCAAGCTGTACCTGAGCGACAACAACCTGAACCATCTGCCCCCCGAGCTGGAGCAGCTGCAAAACCTGCAGATCCTGGCGCTGGACTTCAACAACTTCAAAGCACTGCCCCTGGTTGTGTGCACGCTGAAGCAGCTGTGCATCCTTTACCTGGGCAACAACAAGCTCTGCAGCCTGCCCTTCGAGCTCCGGCTCCTGCAGAACCTCAAGACCCTCTGGATCGAGTCCAACTGCCTGCAGTGCCTGCCCGAGGTGGTGTGCGAGCTCAGCCTCCTCAAGACCCTGCACGCCGGCTCCAACGCGCTGCGCACGCTCCCCACCCAGCTGCGGTGCCTGCAGGAGCTGCGCACCATCTGGCTGTCGGGCAACCTGCTGTCGGAGTTCCCCCCCGTGCTCCTGGACATGCCTTTTCTGGAGGTGATCGACGTGGATCGCAACTCCATCCGGTTCTTCCCCAGCCTGGCTCACCTCCCCGGCCTGAAGCTGGTGATCTACGACCACAACCCCTGCAGGAACGCACCCAAAGTGGCCAAAGGGGTGCGCAGGGTGGGGAGATGGTCAGAGGAGTCCCCCGAACCCCGCAAGCGGTCCGGGGCGGTGATAGAAATCACGCTCGATGAGAAACCGTCTCCACCTCCTGCCACCAAGCCCGAGCCAGAAGCTGAGCCCTGCTAATGCTCAGCTGCCCGCTCTGGTGGCAGCGCACTCACACCACCGCCCAACCTCTACTTCTCCCTCACTTGCAGGTGTCCAGGGAGCACCATGCAGCCTGGCTAGACTTCAGTAGGTGCACCGGCTCAGAGCTAGGTGACAGCAAAACTCTCTTATACCGACACCCCCTTTTGCACAGCACCCAGCTCTCTCTCTAGAACAAAGGCTTCCTCCCTTTCTCCCTCCTCCCATGCAGGGACCACGGAGGGTTTGCAGTAGAGATGAAGACACAGTTTAGATGTTTTCCATGGCTGGATTGTACAGAGCACGTACAGACTCGCTGCTCTTCACCCACGGGAAACCCACGGGCTCGCTTTTCTCCTTTCCACCTTGCTGAGGCAGCTGAGCCCAGCTGGAAGCTGTGTTGAAGGCAATCGCTGCCGGGAGTCCCTGCTCTAAAGTAACGCGCAGCGTTTGTCTCAAGTGACTTATCTGAAGCACAGAACAGCTTGAAGGTTTCCCTGCCTGCCGCGTGGGAAGCAGTAGTGGGGCCCCGGCTGCGCTATCAAGGCAACAGGGTGTACGTACCAGCAAGCTCTCCTCTTACCGCTGCCCCCCTCTTCCTGGAAAATCCGGGCCCACCCTTGTTTTGTTATGGCCAAGCAGCATTTTAAGCAACGGTGAGGAAAGCTGGAGGCTTTGCTGCTAGTTTGTATGTTACTGACAACACTGCCTCTAAGGGCAGCTGTACACAGCGAGTCTTCATGCAGCAGCAAAGAAAATCAAGCCTGACTAAAACTAAAAACGCACAAAAGCTGCGCGAATAAAACCCAGGGCTGAGAGCGCAGCATTTGAAGCTGAGGCAAACTTTACTCAGTGGACTTCAGCTGGGTGTTTCTCCAGCTTGCAACTCAGACCAGCTCACATCCCCTTCAAAATGTACTGAACATTTGGGGTTTTTTTTTTAAACTATGTTTTGCTTTAATTATGTAACATAGAAATCTGGCTCAAAATTACATTTTAAGCTTTTGATTCCATAGCACGGATCATTAAGTTTGGTAAAAGACAGCTTTTTTTAAAAAGGGTGGGGAGCCCTTGGTGGCACAGAACAGCCACTGTCCTCTCTGCCTCACTTGTCAAGGGGAACCGTCGCGCCAGCGCAGCCTGCAGAAGCGGCAGTCAGCTTCCCAGAAAAGGTTTGATTGAATGCCAGTTCGTGACTGCCTAATGTCACTTACATGCTTGAAAAATTATCTGGGAATATACAGACTCTGCTAGGACTTGCTGTCTTGTTAAATGAAGTCTGAATTTGGATCTGGCTGGCACCCATGTAGCATGCTTACTAGTCATTAAATTAAATAAAATATACCAGGATCTTGCTGCATTAAACCAGCCTTCTTTGGAATTAACTGAATTCTCTCTTTCCAAATTCTTTACCTAACCTTATTCCAGCAAACAACTTCCTACAAAACTATTCAGCAGGACAAGAGTTTGGGGCTTTTTGAACATCCAAGTTCAATGTTTTAGTTCCTGTGGAACTGACTTGGTATTTTATTGATGTGAGGGGGCTGGGAGGAAGGTGCTTTCACCTGCCTGTCAGCAGTTTGTAATGAACACAGCACTCTCCACACAGCATGGTCACTTTCAGAGAGCTGAAGAGAGTCTGTTTCCAGAGTTCGGAGGAGCATTCTGTAAACAGATTCTCTTCATTTCAGGAACCCTAAGGGAGAAAAGTGTTTGCAGAGATATCTCCTTGATTTCCCTTAACCTTCCTGCTTTGGCAGACTTCCCCTGGTGTTGGCCAAGGTGCTGTGTTACACTTGCAGGAGCCGGGAGGGTCACAATGCCCAGCTGGCACCTCTCTCCGGGCTCCCACAGACGGGACACCTCCACTTGTCTCTGCTTACAGGCACAGAGAACCCATGTGAGGACTGCTGCAGGCATCACAGACCTCCTTACAACCCGAGCATAAAACAGCTCAAACACGAAACACGTTGCCTTTGCAGCACCTACTGAAATAGGATATAGACAGGCTGCAAAGGGGGGGGGGGGGGGGGGGAAGGGAAGGCCATGTAGCCTGGCACACTTTCCACTAGCTGCCCTCTAGCGTGAGTGTTCATAAAGCCAGCCCAAGCCCAGTACTTTGTAGCCAAACACAGACTGTTTGGTCCAGGATGTTGATATCTCTCTCAAACTGCATCTTCCTCTCAAGTCCCCCCAGCAGAACTCCCACCTGCATCAAATCTGCAGCGTAAAAAGCTGTAAAATCCCTTAAGTTTTAGCTCCGGGCATTGACTAAGGTTCCTCTTCAGCTTTTTCTCTTCATCATCAAAAAAAATGAGCAATACTCCAGCATCGCTAGAAAAGGGTAACATTTAACTCCAGTGCCGATTTCCAGGATGCCAACTCAAAGCCTACACAGCCAGGACTGGAACAACCCGCTCACACCAAATGCGCCAGGCCGACCCGACGCAGCAAGATAAGAGGTCACCCTCGGCGCTGCCTGCCCGGCCACCGCCTGGAGCGCCTGAGGACGCGCGCCACAGCTCTTCTAGTGAAACTGCCCTTCGGGATTCTACACAAAGCCAGATACAACTGTGATGAAAGTGAGTTTATTTTTTTATTTCTGTGTATTTCAAGTGGAACCTGGAGAGGAACAGAAGGAATAGGGTTGTATAAAACCCGTTTTACTTGGAAGTGAATTCTTCCCCACAACACATATAAACCAAAATAAGTTAAAATCAACTGAAGACAGTTATTTCATGCCACCGATTAAGATCTGCTCATCTCAAGCTTCTGTTCCATAACCTCACAAAAACTAGATCATAAAAAAATTACTAGGTGAGATCTGGTCCACACGTCCTCAGGTACCGAAGAAAATTTAACATGGGCGATGGTCTGGTACACGTTTTCTGGGGAGAAAAAGAAAAATCAGACAATTCCCCCCCATGCTGCTGTCCACCAGCCTCCCCGTCCACCCTTATTTTTAATTTGCAGTCCATGTTCTGCGTGCGGCGCTACTGTATCTCACAGCACGAAAGGCAGCATCAGTCTCAAAGCTCAGACGCCACCCTGGACCGCGGTAAAAGCCCCGTGATTCACACCACAGTGTAAACCACCCGCTAGCGGGCACGCGTGGGACAACCTGCCTGCAAAGGGCTTTTACTCCCAAACTTTTTTAACAAACACGTTTGTGTTTTAGCTGCAGATTCTACTTTTGAAGCAGCTGGGCATTTCACTACAGCGCCTGCCAAAAGGGCCAAAAAAAAAAAAAAAGCAGCACAATCCCTTACATCTTGGTCAGCCACTTTTGCAGATGTTTTAGTACTAAATACGGCACATGAGCAGCTGGTGACCTCAGCCTACCCAGACAAACATTGCTCAGGCACACTAATTTAAGCACACTGATGGCTTTAAAGGCCTCTTCATACTGCTAATGCAAAAAAATCATGTAACATGAACGTGAGCCTGTCAGGTGTCAGTCTTCATTTCAAATAAAATATTTTTAGAACAAGACTTTTCTATACAGTTACTCTTCCACAGAAGGAGGTTACTCTGGACCACTGTAACTGATCACATCGATGTTCAGATCATACCTTGGAGCTGCTTTAATAATGTCATCTACACGAAGAATCATCTCGGCTGCTTCAGCTGCGCTCAGCAAAACTTGTCTCTTGACTTGGAAACTTTCCGTTACTCCCAAGACTGCCATGTCTCCAATGGTACCCTCTTTCATATCTGGAAGAGGGGACACATTAAGAGCTTGGGTTTTGTTTGTTTTAACTTGAGAGGTTTTTTAAGGAAATCACAAGAAGCTGACAGAATGGTAACTTACCAGCTCAAATGAACTATACTGATAGTAAGGGAACTAGTAAATAAAGTCTTTCACTTCGAAGCTCCTGATTTAAGCCTAACACATTGCAATTGCGTACAAAAAAAGTAATGATGAAAACTCTACACACTGGGAAGGGGAGGCAATATCGCAACAGACTCTCACAGAAACACAGCACATTATGGGTTGGAAGGGACCTTGAAAGATCATCTAGTCCAGCCCCCCTGCCAGAGCAGGACCACCTAGAGTAGATCACACAGGAACATGTGCAGGCGGGTTTTGAATGTCTCCAGAGAAGGAGACTCCACAACCTCTCTGGGCAGCCTGTTCCAGTGCTCTGTCACCCTCACAGTGGAACAGTTTTTCCTTATGTTAATGTGGAACCTCCTGTGCTCCAGCTTGCACCCATTGCCCCTTGTCCTGTCATTGGCCATCACTGAGAAGAGCCCAGCTTCATCGTCCTGACACTCACCCTTTACGTATTATAAACATTGATGAGGTCACCATTTCCTTAAATTTATCAACTTCAGAGTTGTTCTCCACCACTTTTAAGTGTTTTTCAGGGGGGAGGTGGTGTTTGGTTGTGCTGGGCTTTTGCGTGTTCCTTTGTTTTTAAATCAACGCCTTTCTTTTTAAGCTTCCTATGGCTCAATGTAAGGAAAATGGTTTTCACAGGTGGAAATCATCCCTTTCAAAAACAAAGCTTTTCACTCTATTCTGAAAAGCCTGGTAGAAGGATAAAGGGATGGAACATCGTATGCCTACATTCTACGCAAACAGAAACCAATGCACTCTGCTCTTCCAGCTGAATACAGCAGTGACAAACAGGCATGACCAAGTTCAACAAGCCTAACCGCCCTCCCGAACAGCCCCCCAGCAACAGAAGCACTACCAGGCCCTTACCGAGTCCGTAAGTAGTCCTCCCCTCGCTGTGAGCGGCTCTCAGCTGAGCAACCAGATCTGCACTGTCATAGCCAGCATTGTCAGCTATTATTGTTGGGATCTAAGGGGATAAACACAGGTTGGTTTTAATTAATGCAGGGATTGATCCCTAGTAAACATGAAACAGACTTTGATACCAGTAGTTTGCTGTTCAGTTTCAAGAACAGGAAGTTTCAAAAACACGGCAGACAATCTGTTACAGTGATCAGAAGGAAAAAGAAAAAAAAAAATAAGCAAACTACCTTTCTAA